AAATTGACCTTTGATCTACTTATTATCATTAACTGAACTCAGCTAATTTCTTTCTCTTTTAACTCCAAACCTGGCAGAGATAGGTCCATAGTTACTATTGAACTTGAATAGGAAGTCATATACAGGCAATTTACCTTGAAAATGACCTTTCACCTACCTTACGATGAACTTAAATTTGATTGTACCATTTTTAGTTTCATATATTTTTTGCATATATTGAAAATTCTTGTTGATTGCATGTTTACAGCTTGTCAAGCACAAGACTGGTGACTGTGTCCCTTATTTTGTGTATGTGGGGGTCTATACGAATGCGCTTGCTCCAGCTGGTGGTACAATATTCGGAGGCGGTATCGCCTCTCTGATCCTCTAGTTATTCCAGATTTTTACAATTGTTAGGCTATTTGTGTGCAAATTTCACAAAAATTCCAGCAGATTTGGCACAGTTCTGTTTATTTAACTGTATTCAATCTGAGAATGTGCTGGTTTCGGCAGTCATAATTGTGCCCAGTAGCCTCCAAAAGGATTTCACTCTTCATATGTAGTGGCCAAAGGAAAAGACAAGGTTATTTTAACTTATCACAGTTCAATCACCACAACAATGATGTCTACCATATAAGGTGGCCACTTCGCAGTGTACCATAGTTAAATTAATATTTTTCCCAACTGGCTCTGGTGGACTGTCAGGTTTTTTGTCTTTTCTTTGTGTTAAGATAATTAGTGTTCCTTCACTTATACATTGTCATGTCTCTTTTTCTAGCTCCAGTCTCCATACAGCATGGTGTCTTCTAGGTGAACTGACTTTACCTGGCTTTTATAAGAGGCAGACATACGCAATTTATGCAAATAAAGATAGGTAATTTGTTTCCCCTCTGTCCTTTGTGAAAGAGACACAAACACCAATTTTAACCTTTTTTTTGGGGGGGGGGGGGATGATTATTTCAAATGGAAAGCATGGATTATTATGAATAAAATTGATGTTTCACTGCTCTAATAGTCATTTAGTGCTTTTTTAATCACAACTGTCATTTGTTATGACTTTGATTCTTTTAAACCAATTCATCTTGTATGCACAAAACACATAAAATGAATATATTTTAATTTGATCACTTTTACATATGAGCAGTATCAAGATATAAATACCAAGTTTGGTGATACAAAAATGATCTTGTGCATTTTACATAAGCATCCTATATTTGAATTACTTATCACTGAATTGTTTCTGATAATGCATGAAGAATTTTCAAGGATATTACAGAGAGGATTCACATGCATTGCAAACAGTTACACTCATTTCATTTATGATTTTAGCAAATACACTTCTGGAATTGTGTAAAGAGCTGCTGGCAGACCAAGAGGTCAGTTTTATCCTGAGTGAGAGAGAGAGTGCTGCCAGAACCACCCAGAACAAGACTTCCAAACATGACAGATCCTGTGGAGCCAGTTATATGGAACAGTACAATTACACAACAAATGTGGGTTCCAGGTAACACAAAGAATCAATTTCCCCCATATGCATGGAAACTATAGAGGCAGGGTATATAAAGCAAGGAGATTGTGTTGAACAATACTCTGTTACTGAAGACAAATAGACACAATGGAAATGTTTAAGAGTGAATTGATATTTCAGCTCAGTTGTGATGCGTTATAATAATTTTCCCCATATGCATGGAAACTGTTACACTACTAGTAGAGGTAGCATATACAGTGAGATTGTGGTAGACAATAAGTCATCACTGAAGAGAATAAAGCTTCAGTAAAAATGTTTAAATGTGAATAGATATTTCAGGTCAGATATGATGTGTTATAAATGATCTCTGTTATTGTGAGGTCATTCAGTTGCAATTACAAATTTTATGACATATTTATTATATACAGACACATTCAGTCTGTCTATATTCTGATCACTGTGTCTGCCCAGTGTCATTGCCATAGTCAGCACTTTGTAACACATCTGTTGTTTACCCTATAACTGATAAACTGTTTTTTTGTTTTAATTTTAATTCCTGTCAGCATGATTGGATTATTTTATGATATTGTTTCATCTTTGGCAGTTTGGATATTATGCTTATGTGTCCCGAGTATATCAAATTGAAGTAGCAATATGTAGATATGTTTGTGTATTTTTGCCTGTCTTTGTCTGTGATTCTGATATTTATTTTAATTACTAAATATTGTTGTTTGTGAATTTATGAAATTATTATAAGTTAATTGTTAAATGATTTGTCAGGTGCATGACAGTAGTCAGAAGGTGCATTGGTCTGATAGTTTGATGATGCAAATGTCCAGCTGTTCCAAAGGGTTGCTAGTCAGAAGGTTCACTTGCCTGAGGTTTCATTGGTTTAAAGGTTGTATAGTCTGAGAGTATGAAATGTGTATGGTGTAATTTAGCAGTGATAATATATAATATCTGTGGAAGGTGTTTATGTCTTCATGGCTGTTCATGACTCTGTAATTTCCCAATTTTGGACAGGTGTTACTTTATCTGTGATTTTCATTGTTTCTTGAACACAAATATTTGGTTTTATGGTCTTGTTGCCTGCTGCTGTAAAGATGAAGACTGATGTCAACACATTTGAGTTATATTCAGAAAGCTAAAAACAGTAATTCCTTTCAATGAAGTATTTTATTTGTCTGAGTTACATGACATACTTTATGGAAACTAAAAGTGACTTCTGTGTCATCACCATAAATACAATTTGGCATAAATAAATATTCTGTGATTTTTATGTACAGAGACAACATGACTGCTATAGATTCTCCAGGGTGGATGACTGGATCTCTTCACACTTGAGATGCACTTTAATTGATTGCAGTCAGTCTTCACATTCAATCCAGTCCTGGTTTCTGTCGTACATGCATACCTTCTCCTCAGTAACTCAGCCATTTAAGCTTATTGCAATGATTGCACTTAGCAAGAATCTCCCCCAACTGGTATGATGTGTCTATCTGACAGATTACAGCTCTATAGAATACCACCCTAAGAGCAGTTGCAACACTGCCAATGTGTGCTGTAGATTCTCCAGGGCAGATGACTGGATCCCTTCACACTTGACATGGAACCATTGCAGGCAGTCTTCACATTCAATCCAGTCCTGGTTTCTATCATAGACCTGCCCACAATGACAATATATTGGAAATTTAGACAATTTTGGTCTTGTATGGTGGCGGTTCTCTGATCTATATGGGGACATTTCCAGCCTACCCCTTTCAAAACACTTGCTGAGATGTTCCCTCATTGCCCTTTGCTCCCAAATGAAGTCCTCAGGTCTTGTTCCAAAGCACAGCATTGGCAAAAAGACCACTGTCATTACTGCCAGTTTGCTCCTGAACATCTTTATGCTCCAAAACAATTTTCTTGGATAGAGCAAAAAGTGACGAGGCAACGATCTCAAAGCAATCTTACCCTTCAGTCTGGGGTTTGTCTAGAATTTGAACACAATTGCGAATATTGCTATTAATGTTAGAAAGAGTAAGCCAATGGGAGTTAAGATTAACAAATGAAGAAGTGGGGGTTGATAAGATAAGACCATTTTTAACAAACTCTAGGGCACAAGTACCATAAAAGCCCTCTACCTTTGGGAACATATCTGTTAAAATTCCATGGGCTAAGTCTATTTCATCTCTAGTCAACCAGGCATGTCTTTGACTTAATGTTGTTTTAGAAGAAATGTCATACCTACTGTATGAAAGTTTCTTTCTCCGTTTAAGTGACAAGGAAGGGACGTTACCTTTTCTTTTCATACCTCATCAGTCCTCACCATTAAGGGCCTTATAATCCTCTTCTTCGGTCTTATCTAAAATGCAGAGCAAAACATTAAAATGAGCAATCCCATAAAATATTAAATAATACAAATAACTCAATTCATTTACAGTACATTAACAAAATGAGGGGTATTTAACTTGTTTTGCCAATAACATTAAAGTGTTAACCTGATACTTAACCCATTCAGGAAATGTATATTGTTTTTCAAAGCTTTGTCGCAGATTACTTATAGTGGCAGTAAGGGCATTTTTTCTTAGATCTTCTTAATTTTGGTTTATTTGTTAAGCTTTCATTTCCCTAAACCCTTTATCAGGTGAGGCAAATGCCACACTTCATTCTTAAATAGTTTTACCAAAAATTTCAGTCAAGCAAGCACTCAACAAGACCAGCAACATTGCAATTTCAAGGGAAAAATTGGTTTCAATGATTTTGGGACCTTTTTGCCACTGCTCATAAATCACATTAGGTGCCTTTTTACAAACCTCCTGTATCCTCTCTTGGTCCTCAGTCTGCACTGGGTTCTGGTCAGCTCGGGCCTCAGATGAAAAAAAAAAAAAGACTAGCATACTAAACAACAACCATTTTCTCCTAGGGGCTTCTGTTTTGGAAAAAATGTGCTGATCTAAAAGAAAGAAAATTGCTTAATACGGCATGGAACATAAAATGAGGGATCCAGGTGTGTGTGTGTGTGTGTATGCTCATTATCAAGATGCCTTAATACAAACCTGATAGGTTCTCAGTCCTTACTGAGTCCTCCTGGCCAGCTCTGGCCTTGACTGAAAAGAAACAAACAAATTAGCATGGAATAAGTAACTAACCTTCTCAGTAAGGTTTCAAGTGAATATATTTACGCCACTTTGGTTTTAAGCTCTTTCCCTTCTAGAGTCTCCAAATTAATTTACATTCTGTTTCTGGTCTATGCCTTTTACCTTTGAAGTAATATTATGAGAAATGTATGCAAACAAGCCACAGTGGTACTATAGAGCTTTGATAATGCATATTTTGAATTATCTGTATGGTCCAATCCAATCTGTCTCAAACTTGGCACCTTTCCACCCAACCTTATGAAAGTTTTTCTTCAGAACTTTCATCCTCTTCTTTGTGCTTTGTAAATTCTTTTCATTGTTTTTTTCCATTCCTTATTTTACAAACACCAAGTCAGAAAATTTGTCAGACACTTTAACTGCAGAATTATTCACCCCCGATTGACGTGGCTTTTCTGTGCAGGCAAGCACCTCGGGGATGTTTTTCACGCCACTCAGTTGGTAATCTGACAACTGAAAGAATACAGCAGCCACGTGCTTGCATTTCCCACTGCCTCCTGACACACATTTACACCTTCCATCAATGTGCATCTGGTTTTTTGAAATAGAAGTAAATACAGAATAATTGTCTTTTTTGCAGCTTGAATTTACCACCCCCTTTACTTCTACACATTCCNTGGTGGCTGTTCTCTGATCTATATGGGGACATTTCCAGCCTACCAATTTCAAAACACTTGCTGAGATGTTCCCTCATCGCCCTTTGCTCCCAAATGAAGTCCTCTGGTCTTGTTCCAAAGCACAGCAATGGCAAAAAGACCATTGTCACTATCACCAGTTTGCTCCTGAATGTCTTTATGCTCCAAAACAATTTCCTTGGAAAAAAAGCAATGAGGCAACAATCTCAGCAATCTTACCCTTCAGTATGGGGCTAGGTCTGGAATTTGAACACAATTGCGAATATTGCTATTAATGTTGGAAAGAGTAAGCCAATGGGAGTTAAGATTAAGTATTTGCACAAATGAAGAAGTGGGAATGGATAAGATAAGACCATTTTTAACAAACTCTAGGGGACAAGTACCATGAAAGCCCTCTACCTTTGGGAACATATCTACGTAATAAAATTCCATGGTCTAAGTCTATTTCATCTCTAGTCAACCAGGCATGTCTTTGACTTCATATTGTTTTAGAAGAAATGTCATACCTACTGGATGAAAGGTTTTTTCTCCATTTAAGTGACAAGGAAGGGAAGTTACCTTTTCTTTTCATACCTACCTTGCCCTCAACATTAAAAACCCTATAATCCTCTTCTTCAGTCTTATCTAAAAGCAAAATATTAAAATGAGCAATCCCATAAAATATTAAATAATACAAATAACTCAATTTATTTACAGTACATTAAGAAAAATGAGGGGTATTTAACTTGTTTTGCCAATAACATTAAAGTGTTAACCTGATACTTAACCCATTCAGGAAATTTATATTGTTTTTCAAAGCTTTGTCACAGAATACTTATAGTGCCATCATGACAATATAACATATGCACAGAGCTATTCATTTTTAAAAAAGCATGTGTTATTTATGATGAGGTGAACAGACACTTGTCACTTGCAAGAATATCAACAGCATAGTGATACAAATTACTTTTCTTCTTCTGTCTTCTCTGTCTGTTGTTTCAAGGTCTGTTGACAGCCTGGACTCTAATTTTTTACACTTCAGGTGTGCCTTTTGATTGTCATCTGCAAATCCAGCTTAGAAGGTTAAGCATTCAACAATTATAGAACATCAAGTTCACTCACAATTTTGGCAATTTTTAAAGACTGACCTTGTTGTCTTAGTACTGTAACACTGTATGGCCTCCAATCAGCAGTTGGAGACACATTAGGCTCAGTGGCCTTTGTAACAGTTGTACTTTTCAGATGGTCAGTCCACAAACACTTGTCACCATCTATCCATGATGATGGCACCACTTCAACCTCATTTGTTTTGTCAAAAAGAACAACAGCATACATGATGGAACACTACCCTGTTAAAATTATCAAATGCAGTTTCAGAATAAGTTTGTTCCCAAAAAACATGCACATTTCATACAAGTTGATTGTGAGAAAGATTTATAATATTGGTGTGAAGTGAAGGTACTTCCCTTTAGCTTCATACTTCATTGCATAACAATTTCATTTAGATTATTTTTTTATCATTTACACAAACACACACACAAAATAAATGCTAAGTACTGGTGAGAAACAAATCATCATGTAATAAAAAAACTGAATTTGTACAAATATTCCTTCTGTATGACAAAACACGTGTGCAAGATCACAATAATTTATTTACTTTTCACAAATTAAAGCAATGGAATAGATACATACTCTTCATTCAAATGTAATAATGCAATCTTAGCAGCAACATCAGTAACATCAAATATACTGGTATATAAACATTCGGTGAGGGCACCTACCTAAGATATATTTATTTCAAGTGAGTGAACGGGGTAATCAAATAACCTCTTCCAAAACTATTATCTATTCTTTTTTAAGTATACAATATACATTTGATGGAATTTGATTAAAATATTTCCCATTACTATTTCACCTACTCCTTCATTGAGGTATTTATAAATTATAAGGTACTGTGGCTCCTTAATGGCCCTTATAGCATGCCAATTGCTTTGTGTACAAAATGTACACAATTTTTTATAATATCCTTATCACATGGCCTTAATTTCATTCTTAACCCTAGTTGATACACATACCTTGTACTTTGGGCCACCCTGCATTTTGGGGTAATACTTTAAAGCCTCACTGATGGCTTCTTCTACCACCAACACGGTTACCTTGGGGTTGTTTTTCCTATATGCCTCTGGATTATTAAAATAATAATAAAAATAATTACTGAATAACTTGATCACACAGTAATAATTGAAACATAAACAAGTTTGTAATGATTGACCATAAAATTTTGCTTTGTATTCTATAAAGAAACATACTTACTGATAATTACTGCACAAGTAGCTAAGTTGCCAATTGGTTTCTTTCTCTTTCTCCCTTTGAGGCCTAAGTTTGCCCACAATCTGTTGGATCCCAATTTTTGGATGATTCTTCTTATAGAGTCTCAGGTGCTGAGGTATCGTCTCTGTATCATCAAAAGAAAGTTTTAAACTTAGTCACAATATTCATCCATTAATCACACATAGAATAGTCTGTGCATCTTGTACCCAATGCAGGCAGCCTAATTCTTTCTGTCATCCTTTAACCCTAATAAGGCATGTACACAGGTTAGAAATTTCTACGCTGAAACCATCCATTACTTACCAACCCTGACATGGTACGCAGTTTACTAGTGGAGGCACAGTATGCAATATTCTGAATGCAAACTAACTTCATTATGTGAGCACCTTACATCATCATGAATGCAGCCAGACCCAGTGTAAATGCATCGTAAAATCTAAATGTGTGAAGGTCACGTCTAACAATGTCACCATCCAGAACTCTTTTCCTATAGTTTCTTTTGTGAAATAATTTCTTGTAACTGATTCTCGCCGTGACACTGAACTTAATTCAAGAAAAATTCATTCCTTCATGATCCAGACACAGGTGACCTCACTGCCCCTACTCATGATAAGCTTATACCAGGTTCCAAAATTAGTCCGAGTTGCCGTCTGAGTAGAAATTTTAAGAGATTTGCTCTTTGTTGTTTAAAAGCATGTGACTACAATGGACACCTGGATTTCATGTTGGTGCTCCACTGATAACATTGATACTGCATTGATATCCCAAGTCATATATACCACATTTCTCCACGTGGTAAGAACGTTTTGTGTTTGGTGGGTGTATAATAGGGACAGTGCGGCTTGAGTTTTCTTTCTCTCCCCTCCACGTTTTCTTCAAGTGGAGGAGAGAGCGTGATATGAGCTATCTTTTGCAGATCTGGAGGGATCTTTGGTGGGATGTTCTTATTTATGTGACCGCCCCTGCGCACAGGAACCCCAGGATCCTCTCAGCAGTGACAGAAAACACTAAAGCTGAGTCATGCTTTAAGAGTTTGGTTGGTCCTCTCATCCAGTCCATTTGTCAGTGGGTTATGTGTAATAATTTCTAACTCCAATTTTTGCTTTTCTGGTTCGTGTGGCGAAAGAAAAGACCATTGTATGTGCTCGTGTAGTGTGTGTGTGTTTTTTTTTTAAACAACTTAATTCTCATGAAGGTTTAATATTGTTGCAGTATAATTGAAGGTGGCAATTCGCCAAGGCATTACATGCTCACCTTTGAAATTAAATAATAATAATAATGATACTAATATAAGATAATAAGATAATAATTGTTTTAAAAAATTATAATATTCAAGGAAAAGACAGTGACGAGGACATGAGTGACATTTGAGGGGAGTGAGGGACAGGGCAAGGGGGAAAGGTATTTGTAGGGGGGGGGGCGGGCAATAGGCCATCAGGAGAGAGTGGTAGGCGCCAGAACAGATATGGAAGAAGATTCAAACATTTTTCATTAAGAAATTCGACACTATTTCAAAAATTTTATCATTTGGTCCAGATGTTAGTGTTTTATGGCCATGTAGGAACAGGGATATCTTATCTAGTTGGGTTCTGAAATATGCATAGGTTACACCAAGTATATCTTCAACATATTCGTAGAGATCACAATATTTCCTCTGTTTCAGTGGGCACTGAAGGAAAAATGTTGAATGGTTTCGGGTTTCCCACATAAACAGTTGGGAGAAGCCATATAGCTGTCCAGTTGTGGTCATGTAGTTGGGCTCTAAATAACAAATCACCTGGGCCTTGTTTAGGATTTTTTCATTTTGTCTCGGAAGCTTCGGATGGGTGGTGGACATTGTTGCTGGAAATTGTTTCTGTGATTGCGTAGTGTGTGCCAAGCAATCCAGTTTCTGTCGGATTTGGAGTTTAAAAACCTTTCGAAATCCACTCACAAGGCCCCTTTTGCAGATTTTGCAATATATTTTACTACTCTACCCGGAATATTGTGTACTGTTTCGTTTAATACGTCTAACTTGTCTATGTAAGACCAGACCTCCGACAGGATACTTCCGTCACACGGACATATTGCCTGATGATGCGTCATCTATCCTACTTTGTCTAATTGCTCTTTGTTGCTTATACCATGTAAATCTTGAGCCAAAATGTCCAAAGTATAAGCTAACCTGTCCTGCGTCTTGTTCCTGATTGTTGTGTCCTTCAGCCATCTTCACTGCATGCTGGTTCAGTTCTCTCTGACAATAACAAAAATCTCAAAATGGAATCGTGTGCGAAATCTGTACTGAGTTCTTACAGATACCGCGGGGTATATGTTACTCCAAGGTCTCTAATCTGTCTGCAGAAGATTCAAGGTTCCGTCCACGATTCCCAACTCAATTTATTTCTAGGCTGCCGCCTGGTTTTATACCTCATATATTGGAGTGACAGACCATGTGACTGCAAATTATCCCAACTTTAGATAAAGGGTAATAAAGTGAGATAAAATTTAAGTTGACTGGGACCAATTAAAGTGATAGGAACAATTACATTACTACTTACGTGCCCATGCCCGCGACTTCATTAAAAATTATTACACTTATCAGAAATTTTCTGTGGTCTGCACAGTTCCTGTATGAAAGAGATTGAAAAGTAATGCCATTCATGAGAAGACGGCAAAATTGTTGTACCCTTTTGATTGGGCCACAAATATTTTCTATCAATTCTCTAGTTCCATCCAAAAAATTACAGCTGACAAAATGGCCTAAATGTCCAAAAAGCAGTGACCTGTTGTGAGGTAATGTTTTCTTTGCTAATTTCAAATAGAATGTCTCAATTTCTGAACCTGGAACTAATTGCTTCACTAGATCTGGTAATTGTTGGTGAATAGCAACAGCAGATGAAATCTGTAATTCCACAGAGCTTGTCCCATGGAATAGTTTTCTCAACTCCCCATTAAGGTCTTCATAGAAAAACAAGACTGTGTCCATAAGAGACCCAATTCAATTACTTTGTCACATAAATGAACAAGGTAATGTACATTGTAAGTTTCATTTCGAGGTAAATACAAACAATCAATCTGAGCACAAAATATTTCTAAGAGAACTCTTGCTCTGCTACGTACAACAGAATAAAAAAACATACTAGCTGTTTTCATTTATGCATTTGTAAATAAAATGGACAGGTACCTGATGCTGGCTTGTTCATTCTGAAGAACCTTTTTAGCAACATTTTCAAGTGTATTCTCCAAAATGGACGCAACTGCAAACGTCTCCTGTTTCACATATTCAAAAATGTGAGTAAATGTCCTATGCTGAAATAAAATAACACTATAAGGTTAAATACAAGTAAATATATGTTTTTGTACTGTTATACTAATGTAGAGAAATAGCAGGTTTCATATTAGCAATATAATTGAGTACAGTTAATAGTTTGCCAGTACAGTTTACGTCTGTCTAATTTTTCATCAAGGCCATCAATTAGACTATTGTAATAGGCTTCCTTTGTGTCCTTTATCAGTTTATTTACCAGAGCAGACTGAGCCTTATAACCATTTGTATTATCCTGCTTAGGAGTAATTCTCATTTTAGCATATAATTTCTTTTTTCTTAGAATTTCATGCCATAACCTGTCACAGAACCAAGGCTTGTCATTTGCTTTAATACTTCTTATTTTTTTATGGTATGTACTTCTTATAGATAGATAGTAGTTTGTCTGTAAAGTTTCTAGCAATTTCATGCACATTATCTAAGTGTCGAAAAAAGTTTTCCCAATCAATGCCATTTATTTCATTATTTATTCCTACTACATTAGCTTTATCATATTTCCAAATAGTCTTTTGATGGGGATTATGTTTAGGTAGAAAAGTATCAAAGGAGGTCACTAGCGTACTGTGATCTGTCAATCCAATCGGCTTCATAGAACCAGTTTGCGAAGTTCATCGCTGTAACACACTTCGCCCAAAATCCAGTTTGTTTTGCATGTTGCGGTTACATCTTAGTTACGTTTTCCTTAATGAATTTTATACGATTTGGGCACATTGCCTTTTTATTGTTCTTGCTTCTACCCTGGGAATTGTATACATTGTACCCGGGATCGGACCTCTCGTCTTTGGAGAAAATCTTTCCCATTAACCGACACAGAAGTTTCTGGGGCTGGAGGATCATACTTTGAGTTCTAGTAACTCTTCCATGGATGGCATGGATGAGTCGTGTTGAGGACAGTGGGGTCGCAGTCTGTGACTGAACTGTCTTTAGCATTTCCATAACATTGTCCATTTTTTTCCATTAATTCCGCCCTCAGTCGTGCTATGGCATCCAGGCAGTTGCAGGTGTTATCAGACACTGGGAGGGGGTCATATTCCCTCGGGTCTCGTGCTGCAAGTATTTCAGGAGCATGTAATTCAAATATTCATAAAATTATATATACACGTACTGCTTTCTGCCTCAGGAGTTAAACACCTCAAAGCTTCATTGTGTATGGGGTAGTAATACAGATATTTATATTTTTTGGACTAGTTAAAGTGTTAACAAAGAAAGAATGGCATGTGAAAAATGTTATTTATACTGCTCACCTCCTTCGTCTTTTGTTCTGTTTTTTACTGACTTCCAAAGCATTGGTACCTGAAATGAAAAACATAATTTGAGAAGAGTTTTACTTTTTGGTATATTGTAGTTTCAACTATTACAGAATGTATGAATTTCAAATTGTAAAGTTTTGAAAAACTTTGATAATTACACACAAAAAAGAACAGAAAAAACAATGAAGGCACATTGCAATAAAGCTATTGTGCAACATTTCTAGGCTACAAACTTATAATATTTGTTCCAAAATGACTTAGTTAGTTTTGAACAGGTCATCCACGTTTTATAATATTATTGTGGTATTTCTCACCTCTTTCTTCCTCTGTCTGTGGGTTCCTGTTCTTCTAACAGATGACAATTGAAATGAAAAATGGCACACATCGTATTATTTTTTGCAGTATGATGACATAAATAAATTTCTGACCTTAATGTCCAATCAATTAAAAACTAATTGGCTACGTGTTATGAAAATTTCAGAGTTCTCACCTTTTTGAATCGTTTGTTTTTATTCCCTCTTGCTCTTTTGTCCTCTCTTCTCTGTCTTATCTTTGACATAGTCACATTCA